TCTCCCTGTTTCTCCGATGTAGACTTTGCCGCACTCACAGGGAATCCTGTAGACAACACCATCTTGTTTAGCCGGGTTGACGGTGTCCTTTGGTCGCATCAAGTGTGACCGAAGTGTCGTGTCGGACTTAAAGACGGTGCGAATGCCTTGTTGTTCTAGGCAGCGGCGGAGAGACTCCGCCTGAAGAAGACTGGCAGTAAGCAGTCGAAACGTCGCGATCTACATCTCAAGTGACTACATCGTGAGACAAACGATAATACACTTTATTATTAGACAAGAATCTTAATTTGTAATGCTAGTTATAATGTACAGTGTAAAAGTGTCAGCTCATTCTACTATACGGTTAGATATTGATACTCAGGGGAATTGAGATTATGTACATGTATGGGTGCAAGTCAAGGAAAGTAACTTCACTAATAATTTGAGAAACCAATATTAGGGTTAAGTTGTCAAGTTATTTTAGGTGAAATTTGGTGCAACAATTTACGAGTCAGTACGTCAAACTAGATCTAAAAAGCTTCTCTTTTGCCTGTAGCCCAAACTACTGAGCAAGACGTGAAGGACATAAATAGAGAACAGGAGCTGGATCAATATGAAGATCACGATACTTGGTTGAAGATGGTCAAACAGGACTATCGTTCTTTCCGTCGCCTGCAGAATGAGGAACAGACAGACCAAAAACGAAAGGTTCATAGCATATAATTTGTAAATAAGACAGTCAAATTGTGGGTGAGGCAAGAGTAAACTAATGTTACACTGTTCTTAATAAGTGATTTTTTTCATTCTTTTCAGCGGCTGAATCTGTTTGTAGCACGGTTCCAGGACCAGTTTCCTGCACGGTATGCGTGTAATGGCTGTCGTGTAAAACTGTCAGACATCCGATACCGCTGCCTTAACTGCATTGATGTTGACTTCTGTTCTGACTGTTACACGAGTGAGTATAGTCATTTATGGTATGTTGCTGGGAGCTGAAGAAAACTACAAAGGGCTATATCACCCTTATGTACAGGAGAAGTCCTTTTCAGCTATTCAACAGGAAATAAATCGGTTTTTATGGTCACAACATTTGATTAATTAATGCCTTAAACTAAGTTTTCCTTTAATCAGTAAGTAATGATGTTCCTAAGAAACACAAAGTAATTTTTTTTTTCTCATGGACGCAAGCTTCTGACAAAAGAGTGCCAACTTTTATCATTCCATACCTCTAGTCTTTGTACAAGCCTTGACCCCCTTCCTGGGCTACATGCCTGTTTTGAAGACTTGTATACTATTTCTGAGTGATGAAGCGACACTTGTTTCCAAACTGAGTTTGTATTGGCTAACAGGGATGTATCAGGTGTTGTCTTCAAGTAATTTGGCGCATACATTTTTGTTAACCGCGCGGCCATGGGCCGAGCGCGGTTCTAGGTTTACCCGTGGTTTATTAACCGCGCGGCCATGGGCCGAGCGCGGTTCTAGGTTTNTTGCTTTGGAATATGCACTGCGTTGCGACTGTAGTATTAAGAAAACAGTTAAATTTTAAAAGCGCGGTTATAAGATCTAACAGATCTTCTTGTTTTATAATTATTTAGGTTTGAATTTATTTTTTTTCAAACAGAAAGGGTAAAAGCAGAAGGTCACACAGAAAATCACGAAGTTATTGAAATGAGGTTAGTACTAGAATAAACAGCTGTTTAGTTGTCTACACACTGGTAATTTTTAACTTCTTAAAAAAATGATAATAATTAATTTGAACAATTCATTGTGACAGAATGTGCAAGGGAAGCCATAAGTTTTACTTGAACACCTTAAAATCTTTGTATGTCACACCATGTGCCATAATCTTTGTGTTCAGTTATAGTTGCTTTCTATTTATGTTGTTTTTACCTAAAAGAAATCAAACTAAGCTGCTTCATTCACCTCGTCAACCTTCAGTTAAAAAAGTGCACCGCTTCAAATATTTAACCACCACGCGTACAATATAGCAGGCTTAATAGGACACCCAAATCATCTTAACAGTAAGCAGACGTAAGTAGCAGACGTAATTTGTAAATTAGTGTATTTGTGGTCAAATTATTGTCTTAAACTACACACTACCAGCTGAAGTGGACACCAAAAATCCAAAATTTAGACCCCTAAGCGAGATGATGAGCATTCCTGTCTCTTTCAAAAGGCAGTTCCTCTCCACCCCAAGCTCACGGTAATGTCACGCAATACGCAGCTAAGAACTCGTATTTCTGATGTTTAAAGGAGTTCGGTTACGCGGTGAGACTATTTAAGGTTATTTACTTTGTAATCATATCTGTCAAAATTCAATTATTTGTCAATGCCACCCAAAAAGAAACATATCGCACAGTGGGATATGATTTACAACATAAGGTGACGGACCATTATGTTTTCAAAGGGGGTGGGGGGGGGGGGGGG